AGTCAGGCCAAGAGATGACACAGCAACTTTGAACAACGTGAATGGTCAGAAACAGCAGATGCACTCGGGCCTAACGTACATGCTTCATGGTTGGAAACAGAGACCACAGAGATCTCAGGAGAGGCCAAAGCTAAAACAGTGTTGCCTCAATAATAGCTTACGATAAACAGCTGCTGAAGGCTGCTTTTCGCAGCCGGCGAAATTGTGATTCAAGCTCAAAGATAAAAAAAGGTGTAACTGAGAACTTGAGAAAGAAGCAGGCGTTTGAAGATAGGTGAGGTGCACTTGTGCTGAAGTACTGTGCCTTTTAACCTTGAAATTATTGACAGTTTTCACATGCCCATTGCACTTTAAATTGAACTTTTATATGTGTATGTTGGGGTCATGAGAACCAACATGGCCACTGAAAGGAGTGTGAAAACATTTGTTTGAGACATAATTGCCCTTTTATTTAAATGAGAGTTTTTTGAGAGATAATGAAATATTTCTTCTCGATTGATTGTATGAGGAATTTGCTGTTAGGTGTCTGCCTACTTGCCAGAAAAGCCAAGAATGAAATAGTGTCAAAACCATGTTCTTGTAAGCTCCAGAGATAGTAGGAACTGCAGATGCTGGAGAATCTGAGATAACAAGGTGTAGAGTTGGATGAACACAGCAGGCCAAGCAGCATCAGAGGAGCAGGAAGGCTGATGTTTCGGGCCTAGACCCTTCTTCAGCCTTCCTGCTCCTCTGATGCTGCTTGGCCTTCTTGTGAGCTCCAATGTCCATGGATTTCCTAGGTTCAATTCCTACTCTGTCCTGTTTTCCTCTGAGTTTGCTGTAATTTCTAAGAGGGAAATGAGCTAAGAGTTGATGACTCTAGTTAGAGATCTTTTACTTCAACATCAGCCATCCAGCAACATGTCAAAGTGGCTGTCGCTGCATCACTATCAGCCTGAACATTCCCATCAATAACAAACAGTGGTAGGTTAGGAACCGCTTAAGGAATATTGAGAAAGGTGGAGAAAATAAATAAAGTCAGGAATGATGCATTATTTCCTATTCTCAGATAAGTTAATGCCAATACTACAGTGGATACATACCTGATAGTATGCAAAGAAAGACCCTTTTTATATTCTTTTTTGTGATATAATGAGATTCGTGTAAATCATGATAATGATGTAACGGATTACATGACTGACATCAATCGATGAGAACATACCAGCCTTGAATATGCATGTGAAAAGAGAGGTCTTAGACACTACACTAGAGAGATGTATTTGAGAACCTATGATGTGAATGAAGGAGTGTTACAGTACACAAGGAACTGAAGTGCCTTCCTTAATGATAAGGAGAAAGCAGCCTCAAAGGCAATGTATCTGCAGATACCAACAGTTGGAGATATTCCAGACCAGTGTCTCAATGTGCCGGTAAAGTCATTGTGTTAAAGCAAAAGATAACGCACATTTGTAAAGTTAACATTGTTTATTATAGATAATATTAAAAACATATCAAAATACCAATACTTTCAAGGGGATCATTAAAAGACAGCATTATTGAAGCTGTGTGGAGTGAATGATACCAATGTCTGATAATACAGCAGTGCCAGTGGCCGCACTAGGTGAATGTATTGAACTAATCTCAGTAGTGGTGTCACAAAACTATCCTTGATTGTTGTAAAAACCCAACACATTCACTAATGTCCTTTAGGAAGGAAATCTGGCCTTGCCTGGCCTACATGTGACCCTAGATCTGTAGTGATTTGATTGACTCTAACTCTTAACTGCTCCCTGAATATAATTTAGCAAGCTACTCAGCTCTACCAAAATTACTATAAAAAGTCAAAAAGGAATTAAACTAGAGGGACTAGCTTGCATCAATTTGGGTATTGGAAACAATAAATAGCACACAGTCAAGTGAAGTAATAGCCTGATACAGTTATACTCAGAGTCAAATTTTACACTCAATGTCCTAGTCACTGTCATAATCACAGAGATCTTTCCCATTGGCAGGACACCCTCAGCAAACGCACAGAGGTTAACTGTCAGGAAGGCATTATCCTGGGGAATTGTCAATGTTCACTGGACCCCATGACATTTCCTGACATAAAGTCAAAAACGGCCAAAGGAAATGTTTTGCTGATTACCACATACTCCTCTCATGCCTAATGAATCAGTACTCCTCCATATTAAACACCACTTGTAGAAATCACTGAAGGGTGGCAAATAGACAGATGCACTCTGGCTGGGGTCACTTCAATGTCAATGACCAATAGTAGAACAACAGCAAACTTAAGGAAGGAGTTGGCTGATACCATACGGAATAGTCACTAGACTGGGTCTGTAGTAGGTGATGATGAAATGGATTAATGGGAAAACCAGTTTGATCCCATCCTAACCAATCTGTTTGTTGCAGATGCACCTAACCATGTCGGATCAGTGAGAGTGACAACAGCAGAATCATTATGAAGACTAACTTTTATCTTCACTTATGACATAGCCTCCATCGTATTGTGTGGCATTGCGACTGGGTTAAATCAATGAATTTGGACAGATCTAGGAACCCAAAACTGGGCATTCATGGGATGTTGTGGGCCAGCTATCTGCAGCAACAGAACTGTAATCAACCATGAGCTTTTACCTCATGGCTAGTACATCCCTCAATTTATTGTTAAGATTAAGTCACAGGATCAATCCTGGCTTAATGAAGACTGCAGACGTGTACGCCAGGAGCAGCATCAGGCATTCCTAAAAACTGAGGCTTGATGAAGTTAAAACACATGAAATACAGTGTGCCAAACAGTGGAAGCAGCATGCATTAGGCAGGGCTCAACAATCCCACAACCAATGGAGCAGCTCAAAGCTCTGCTGTCATGCCACAATAGTGATAAGTTAAATAACTAACAGGAGAAGGAGAAAGCTCCATAAATAATATGTGTACAGCAATGAGCTGCTCATTGACATTTATTGTAGGTTCCACTGCGATGACACAATTCCTGACATCATTACAGACTTGGTTCCAAACATGGACAAGGAGAGCAGCAATTGAAAAGGTTAGAGTGACTGCCCTTGAAATAAAGGCAGTGTTTGATACAGTATGCCAAAAAGGATCCCTGGCAAAATTGAAGTCAATGGAAATCTACTGGGGAGAGGGCTCCACTTGTTGGAGTCATATCTAGCACAAAGGAAGATAGTAGTGTTTTTTGGAAGCCAATCACTTTGGTCCTAGGACATCATTGTACAAGCTCCTCGGGGGAGTGTCCTCGAACCAATATTTTCAGCTGCTTCATTAATGACCTTCCACCCAACATAAGGTCAAAAAAGGGGATGTTCACTGATAATTAGACATTGTTCAGCACTATTCACTCTTCAAATACTGAAACAATCTGTGTGAATGCGCAGAAAGACCTGGATTACATTCAACTTTAGCTGATAAGTGGCAAGGAGCATTTGTGCCATGCAAGTGTCAGGCAATGACCATCTCCAAGAAGAGAGAATTGAACTATTGTCCCTCAACATTCACTAATGTTACCATTGCTGAATCCTCACTATTAACATCCTGAGGGTTACCGTTCACCATGATGGCTGTAAGAACAATCAGAAGTTAGAAATTCTGTGGTTTGCGACTCACTTCATAACTCCCAAAAGACATCAGCCATCTGCAAGGCTCAAGTCATGAACGTGATGGAATACTTCCCACTTGACTGATGAGTGCAGCTCCAAATACACACAAGACCTTGACCACCATTCATTACAAAAAAGCCTGCCTCCTGCCTGTTTGTCACCTCATCCAACAAATTAAACATTCACTTCCTTCCTGCCAGGGCACAATGGCAGTAGAGTGCACCATCTACAAGTTGATTTGCAGCTGCTCACCAAGGTTCTTAGGACAGCACCTTCCAAATTCACAAATTCTGCCACCTAGAAACAAAAGGGCAGCAGATACATGTGAGCACCACCACCTGCAAGTTCCTCTCCAAGCCACGCGTCACCCTGACTTGGAATGTATCACTGTTCCTTCACTGTCATTGAGTGCAAATCCTGGAACTCCCTTCCCTTAGCACTGTGGGAGTATCTAAACCAGCTGAACTACACCAATTTCATAAGACAACACATCACCACCTTCTTAAGGGCAATTAGAGATGGGCTATAAATGCTGGCCTTGCCAGTGATGCCCACTTTTTAAAAAATAATTTTATAAATTAGCACTGATGCTCATGTTATATATTTGGGGAGGAAGGTAAATATGCAGAAACAAGGCAAAGCTTAATACTTGGACAATGCTGAAGTATGGCATAGTGCCTTGACACATCCAAACCATCCCATTCAATATTGCTTCAAACCTTCAATCTTTGCTTCATTCATATCAGTTTGGCTAAAGCCAGTCTGAATCTTTCAGGACTGGAACCCTTGTAAAGTCAAATGTTGACAGCAAATTACAGCTGGGGCAGAGAAGTAGACCCTAGATAACACTGATGCTTTAAGATCTCATTAGTCTGTGATGAATTTACACAGATTTTAAATTCGCAATTGTTGGACACCACTATATTGATGTTCAGTCTCAAGAGGAGATGCAAGAATTGCTTTATTGTCGAGTTTCCAGAGAGAATAAAAAGTGTTGTACCTTCATTATCTGCTCTGATAATGGGGACATTATCTGGGGACAATGGAGAGATGTAGAGTTTATCTCCTTCACACAGTCGAATACAGAATGCTGTCAGCAACGGAATAATGTGCAAAAGCACATTACAATCGCACAAAATTGATGAAGTGCTGATTAGTATTACACTAATCCATTCCATTTCTCTTTCAGTTTTTGACATGATCTGCTCTTTAACTGCACAACTGCAACGTTACAATTTACTAAACTTATGTCACTTGTGTATTAACCTCCAATTAAGCAGCATTTGTGATATGCAAACCAAATTATCCAAGGACTGATTTTGTTCGAAATACCTTTGAATTTCAATTCCATTTAATACTTCACAGATGTTGCTCTGCTTACCACTGCCCTTCACTTACTTGGAAGATTATAACAAATGTCAAGCGTGCAGCTAGAATAGCCCAATACTGTTTGGAGTAATCATAGGCATGGTCAGACCATGGCGGTTCCCTGTAATCCTTGTACCTGTGGTAAAAGGTCAGGATGGAGAGTTGGGGTTGGGTGGGGGAAGGTTTGGGATAATAGCAAGTAAAAATATGACTAATTAGTTCTGCAGTGTTGCAATAAAACATGAAAAACCTCCCCAGATCATGAAGGCTCCCAGAAAAACATTTGAAAATAAAACCAATCATGTAGTTATTTAATTGAATAAGACTCTACTGTGAACAATTGAGTCATGGAGAAAGAACCACAAATGGTGCTCCATAAGATCACATTCTGTACTGGATGCAATCTTATTTACAACTGTGTAAACTGATGTTTCACTGAGTCTAGCTTGGTTTAAATCATGCTGTTTTATTAAGAGAGTGAACTTGGATTACCACAACATCATTTGATCATAGATTATAGAATCCCTACTGTGTGGAAACAGGCCCTTCAGCCCAACAAGTCCACACCAAACCTCAGAGCATCCCACCCAGACCCATCCCCCTATAACCCACCTAATCTACACCTCCCTGAACACTATGGGCAATTTAGCATGGCCAATCCACCTAGCCTGCACATCTTTGGATTGTGGGAGGAAACCGGAGCACCCAGAGGAAACCCACATAGACACGGGAAGAGTGTGCAAACTCCACACAGACAATCGCCCAAGTGTGGAATCAAACCCGGGTCCCTGGCACTGTGAGGCAGCATTGCTAACCACTGAGCCATCAAGCCTTGGTCAAAGGAACATATCTATAAACCAGTTGCATCTAAAATGTTGCACAAAAGCATTTCTCCTGCCAAATGATGATCCTATGTTTCTGCATTAACAAGGAAAGCAGGGACTTAGTTACTTGAACTCTGCAGGCTAAACAGCCCTTATTAAAGATAAGTAACAGCAATAACTGAACATATGATTACCTGCAGACTTTAATATTGATGAAATGTGATGATTGTGGATGAGTACCCTGTAGAAATTCACTGATATTGAAGTAAGACAAGGTATGATTCACAAACCCATGCATACTTCCATCATCACTATACATGTATTGGTAAACAAGGCGTGGAATGAAGTCAGACGTTATAGCGATTACAAATGCCTGGGAGACACACAAAGAAGATGTATTAACACTGGAAATTAAGAGTCTTGAAGAAAATTCAACTGTTAATATACATTGGGACAATGTGTCTGCTAAATGGTGAACAGAGGATGGCAAAACAAACATATGCAGCAATTCTTCATTAAGGTCACAAGAAACAGATTGTACAAATCACCAGGTAGCAGTAGCTGCTCAACTATTTCAGTTATTCATAATAAGATAAAGTCAGAACTCACAGAACACCAGGTTATAGTCCAACAGGTATATTTGAAAGCACAAGCTTTCGGAGCGCTGCTCCTTCATCACCTGACACAGGAGTAGTGGTCCGAAAGTTTGTGATTGCAAATAAACCTGTTGGATTATAACCTGTTGTCGTGTGATTTCTGACTTTGTCCATTCCAGACCAATACCGGCACCTCCACAATGGAGAAATCAATTTAAATTGAATGTTGCGCTGCAGACATAAGTCACATGTATTAGTCACAGAATATAAATTTCAACAATACGTATTTGCCATATAACAACTTTTGAAAATTTGTTCCTGTGAAGTACAAACACTTCCTTTAATTGTGATAGGTGAATGTTATGGACCTTGAAATGTCTGATGCAGAGCCTGATTGTCTGAACAACTTGGGATTCATGCCATCCTTTTGCTTTAAACAAACCTCTTCTGTGTCAAAACACCAGTGCCGTTATCTAATGGGAAAAGGTGCTTCCTATTAATTGACTCCTGCGCTTGACCTCACTTTGAAAGAAAAGGTCTCCCAAATCATCAGATGCTTCAGGATATCTCAACCCTTTGCAAAATGTACCTAATTTACTTCACTGTTCAACACGTACATTTCCAATGAAGTCTGCTAAATTGTTGACGCTGCATCCTCAAGGGAACAATTCCTGGCAGCACAACTTAAATCAGCAGAACACAGAATTGCCTCGGCACTTTGGAGATGGATATTCATGATTCGTAAAGGTGCATTCCTCAACTTCAGTAACTGTTTTTGTTCTTTGACAACGTCACTTAAAAAACACACTCAGCTGACGAACTCTAAGCAGGTTAAACCTGTGTTAAATTTAATTGATCTTAAGTTATGAGAACATTGACGTAATTGTGCATTTTTAATTATTGCTGAAATATGAATCTGAAATGCCTAAACCTATAAACTTAAATCTGCTATGTAAGTGGCTGTATAAGTAAAAATAAAATCATCTTCCTGTCACATTATGGAAAAAAAGCAGTAATCAGTTTGATTTATTTTTTTCCAAATTCTCAAAAGTAAGTGCACCTTTGGGCTGAACATGGGTGAGCCTGTCAGAGAGGATACCATGACTGCAAAGGAGAATTTTTTACCGAGTGGCAGGGAGGTTCTGACAGGAATTGAGCTCACTGGTGAGCTTGTCAATTAGGGTAATCAATAAACCATTTAAACTAATTATCCCTGAACCCCCCCAACAGGATTTAATGGTGGTGCAGGAATTCACAAGCTTCACACCGGTCTATCGTGAGTCCTTAGGGTCACATGGCAAACCCTGTCAGTTATGGCTCAACCCTGCTGGGTTTGCTTGAAACCTTGTCAGGATGCACCCTCATTAACAAGTGTGATTTAAGAGGTGTGATTTATATATACACTTTAACATCATTTATTTTAGAGTTTGGTGTTTGAACTAGTGGCATCGGGTTTTGGTCTGCATGTATGAGAGAGTTTAATGACTAATTTGTCAGTATCTCTGAAGCCATATTTTATTTAAACCAGTAGGTGGGAAAGACAGGGAGAGTCACTGGATTGATAATGGGATCTTATTTGCATTTGAAAATTTTATAATCAGACAGAATAAATATTAATAATCATTCACTTGTTTTTGGTTTAGCGGAATCAAGAATTGATTTATTTTTATTTTGCTTAGGGAATAACCCATTGATTGAAAAGCTTTTGGTTTCAATTTGCAGAAATCCTGATTTGAAGTTAAATGGGAAAGAGATTCTCCTAGAAGAAGGAGGCAGTTAAGAATAATTAAGACATAGGTTGCCTCAGTGTAAAGATTTTAGATTAAAATTTCAGACCAGAAATGTTAATCGAAACCATGAAGTGGTTATTTGAAGCTGAATAAGTCTAAACTCAATTGTGTGAATAATCAAGAAAGTAGCTATCAAACTCTCAGGAACAGGAATTGGAAGAAACAGTTAAGTCAAACTTATAGATCTAATTGAGAAAAGAACTTTCCCTGGTCTATAAAGAGACAGTGTTGGGATAGAAGGTATTGTATTTTGTCTTGTGTCTTAATATCTTTCAAATAATGGCAGATGTAAATAGTTTGGTTTATTCTATTTTAGTTTCATTTCTTTTGCACAATAAACTACTGTTTTATTATTAAAATCTGCAGCATTATGTGTGGTGTTTCAATGTAGACCACCTCATTAAATACAGACAAAACAGAATATAATCTATTGAGCGAGATTGCAGTCTCAGATCTGAGTTGTTAGTAATGATATTGGTCGGGATTATAACACCAGCACTCAGTGAATGATCAATGGATCCAGTGATGGAAAGCAGGCACCACTGAAAGCCATACCCCTGAACCTCATCTCCCTCTCCTGTCCGAAAGCGTTGTCCATATTCACGTATCTCCAAGTTTCCAGCAATGATCCCTGGTGAAGGATTCTATTATTAGTAGGCTCCTGTCCCAGTGCCATTACTAGCAATAGAGAGTTACCACCTCTGATTGACCAGAAGCTCCCAGGATTTGGATTTCCACTCTGGTGGCACATTCATCCAATGGGAGGCCAGTTTTGGCTTGTTAACCGTCTGATTGCATCAGGGCTCCCATAACTTTAGTTATGCCTGAACCCTTTACTTAATAAAGATCCTGTGCATTTAAAGAAGATGTCAGAAAGCTGAGTGACTTACGTTAATGATCACAGAAAACTTCCCCATCCCACTGAGAATGTTATACCAAATTCCTAATGGACAAAGAAGACACACATTAATGAAGATGCAAGACATTTAATGCAAATCAACTTCATGTGGGTCGTTCTGACTGAAATGCTGATGTATATTTTGAGGTGGCTGACATACCTATGTCTTTTGCCCGTACTGCATCTGGTCTTCTGAGTTCAGCGACAAACTTTCTTGCATCCAGCCGTATCTCGATGACGTTGTTGAGAAGAGCAAACAAGGGAGCCAAGGGAAAGGATGCGACAAAGAGTGTCACAAAGCCAAACTGCACAACTGGGGGAAAGCAGCGTTCATTAAAACATGCTAACGAGAGCACAGTCATGTATCTCTATGTAATCCCAATGAAAGGAGCCACTGAAAAGTTTGAAACTAACATCTCTTTGAGTGCATGTCACATTGAGTGCATCTCTATGTAATCCAAGTGTCTGTGAGTGACTGTACTAAACGTAGTAACTATCTAATACAACAGTTTCATAAGAGACACTGGGCCACATCACAAACCACAAAACCAACCTTAAATAATTTACTCTAGCTGTCAGACTCTGTGACGAAATCTGCAGAGCTAGCTCCACAATTCTACTCTCCCAGCAGGAAGCTTGGAAGAAGTCCAAGTCAGTGAATTGTACAATGCTTTAAGCCTATCTCCAGCCACATTCCCTTCAAGGAAGTTTTCCCACTAGGAGTACAAGATGGAAGCATATGAAAAAGGTGGGCCAGAAAAGTAGTCCATTTATCAAGCTTCCTCACCAGTCATGATGTCAAAGCAACAGGAATAGACACTTCTTACTTCTAGCCTAGCAGCTGTGCAATTCATGAGGGGGCCAAAAAGCAAGAGAAATAAACTGATTCAATAAAAGTTTCAAAAACTTCTGAAAATCTCTCACCAGCACCCTCAGCTGATTGGCCCCAGCCCAGGCCTCATACTGATCATTGCAGTATTAACATCTAAAAGTCCTAAATAAGTTGCTGTTGATCATTCAGGAATGTCCATTAGTTTTCAAGGTGTGAAACTGCTGGGATGGTTTTGATCAGTATCTGAGTCAATTCCTTTTATTAATAGCTACCACTTTTAATGCAGACATTGGTTACACCCTTCGTCATTTATATCAATAGACAAGTGGTTGCAATATGACTGTTCCAACCTGTCAGATACAGAAATACAAATAGCTTGTAGGGTACTTAAATTGACAGAGTACACTGTTAGACATCGATGTAAATTGGAAGCTCTAGACAGAAATATAATTTGGAAGCACTAATAACATCATAATGCATAGAATCCCTGAAATAAATCTCCTGCATGTTAATATTCATATGTAGCAATATTCCTACAGACTTAATGTAAATACACACTGAAGTATATACCCCTGGCAGCTGCTACGAAGAATTAACAGTGGATCCCAAAGGCTATAGCTATGGTTTGGTGGTCAAAATGAAGGCAGAGACCTTAAATAGCTTTCTCCACAACCATTTGACCAGCGTGGAGAATATGCACTCAATGTGACATGCACTCAAAGAGATGTTAGTTTCAAACTTTTCAGTGGGTCCCTTCATTGTGAAGTTCCCTGAGTTTCATATCTTCAGCAAGATGGGTTAATTCCTGAAATCTGTGTTAAACATATCACGTCAATCAGTTTGTGAAGCTTAGGAGAAGCATGTTGTGGAAGTTTTATAGGTCTCGTCAACTTGAAGTGTCTTACTTAGATGTCAATGATAAGTTAAGTAAAACTGATTATAACTGATATTATTGACTGATTATAAACCTCTGTGTTTAGAAGATAAGTGACCATCATTGTGTAAATGTACAAATGAATTAGAGTTATTTCTCAGGTAGATAAAGTGTTATGCTCAATTCAACAGTATTTAGAATCGAATAATTATGTTTCATCTTGATCACATACTTTCATTTTTACATTGATTTTAAATGAGAGCAGAATTTTATTTTAACATTTGAAAAAAAATTAAAGAAAAGGTGCCTGACTTCTTGGCTTGCAAGTCCATCTCTTGAAATTTTAAAGGATCTAAAGAGATAGTTGGCCACATGTTATAGCAACTTTAAGTGTGCAATTGTATTGAGCTATGGAGGGATTCTTTGTGCTGGGTGTGCAATAAAATCACATTATAAATGCTTGGCTGAGTTCCAAATCCCTAAATATACTTGAGCTCAGTATGGATTATTTACATAGCTGTGAAGTAGACTTCAAGCTTTGTTCGATAGTTATATGAACATTTAATAAGATGAAACAGTTTTGAATTTCAGTTTGCTCATTTTCATAGATATATGACCATTTGTAGAAGAGCATGTTCTTTTTTAAGTAGAGTTTGAATTTCTATATGCTTGATTAGCAGTTTTTTGAACTCTTAAGAAAAGGAATTTTTTCAAGTCAGGATTGACTTGTTGAGTGTTTGTTTACCTCAGAAGCATTTAAAAGATTATCCAGTGTTGTTCTAGGACTCATGAGTGCTGTCACTGGGACACTGATTATACAGGATTCGTGGTGGTGAAGGAGACGGAATGGGAAATGTAAGTATGGAGGGGTTCAGGGATGCATGGGATATTGGGAAATGGATTAGGTTGGAGGGTGGGTGTGGAGAGTAGGAAGTGAGGGCTAGGGGCTTTACAGGACTGGAACTGCAGTAAATAGAAGTGGGCCTTCTAACCTGCCAACCTCTGTTCCTGCCTCAGACTTTCATCAGTGGACAGTTATCACTACTATAATCCCCCAATTTCCTAGGGGGAAATAATATGTGTTTATTTATATATATGTGTGTATTTATATATGTGTTATGTGTATTGTGTGTGTGTGTATGTTGTGCATGTGTGTTCATTCAGAGTCCAGGAATGCAACTGTGTGAAATGTCTTAACTTATGATTCCTTGGTCTATCATGAGAATTTGGCCCTAAATTCCTTGCTTGCCTTAAAATGATGTGCAGGTAGATAAATTGAAAAACAAATAATTTCCTTATCATTTTAACCCTTTGTTATGGCAACATTTAAGGAAATGAGACATGATGCATTTGATATCCCAATGCAATTATTTTTCAAGTTTACTAATTTGTGCCGTGTGGCTTCATTGGGAGTATTTTTGACCTTCTGTGTTAGTTCATAATAAATGACATTGAGTCAGCAGCCTATTTCACGTCTCCTATGATTTCTATTTCCTTTGAAGACAATCAAAATAATAGTGGGGAGGAGTATAAATCAGTCTCTCTATTTGCTATGACTATTTTATATTCATGTAAAGTCAAAATGATTCTATTTTGTGCCTTAAATCAGACTCAGTTTCAAAAAGCTGTGTTTTCTCCCCTTAAATTTATTTGAATGATTTTGCAAAAAAATAATTTGGCCCCTTTTCTTGATCACAGGTCTCAATCTTTTCTTAAGAACCTCCAGACATTTAATACTTTAAATACTCAATCCCTCCACACCAGTACCACGCTGCAGTATTGTATATTATCTACAAGGTACACCGTGGTATCTCACCAAAGTTCCTTTAAAAGCATCTTCTAAATTGTCATTTCTACCACCTGAACAAGAAAACAAAAACTGCAGTTTCTGGAAATCAGAAACAAAAACAGAAATTTCTGGAAAAACTCAGCAGATCTGGCAGTATCGGTGGCAAGAAATCAAAGTTAATGTTTCAGGTCCAGTGAACGCCAGATGATGCCAGACCTGCTTAGTTTTTCCGGCAATTTCTGTTTTTATTTCAAACACTGTACAGGCTAGCACATTAGACGCATGCAAACACCACAACATTCCCCTTCAAGTGACCCAATATTCTGACTTAGAACCATCACACTGTTCCTTCCTTGTCTTTGGATTAAAATCTTGGAACTCTCTGCCAAACAACATTGTCAGTGCACCTACACCGCAAGGGCTGCAGCAGCAGACATAAGGCAGCTCACCACTACCTTCTCAAGGTAATTCAGAATGGGAAAATAGTTGTTGCCCTTCCTAGTGGTGCTTGTATCCCAAGGACAATTTTTTAACATATTACTCATCTTATCGGATAAGCATTCTTACCACTTCTTAACAGATTACTCAAAGCTATCTATGAAAAATTAAACGCACAGATAATGTTGTATCAACTTACTCATCTCCATGTATTCAGGAGTCAGGCTAGTAAAAGGTTCCAAATTATAGTCTAAATCCCACTGTTGCGGCTGTCGAGTAGAACCAGAATTATTCGATTCTTTGGGATCAGCCCTTTCGTCCTTCAATTTCCTGAACAACTTTTTTATTCTCCTGTAAAGTTAGCCCAATTTAATAATATCACAAAAAGGACCCGGTCTAGGAACCTGCTGATTAACAAGATCATGTCTAAAATATACAACATCTGAAGTACCAGAAATGTCACCTTGGGGAAGCTGAGACTTTCTATTGATGAGAAAATGGTTTTGAATGTAAATGGAATAAGAGGCACTCCATAATGAAAATCATTTCAGTTTGCAGTATAGACTGTCACAGAACAAAGCAAATAAAATCTGCAAATTTCGCGTCTTGGTGATTGTTGTAATTATGCAAACTATTCCTCAACTATTAAGTTTAGGTGGTTGTGAAGGTTCTTTAACCTTCTTGCCACGCCTCATTAAACAGCTTCTTATTATAGGGCTGGATTTTGCTGTCAGTGGCAATGAATGGTATTTGTCATTCACTTGGTGTACAAAGTTTTAGCAACAGGGATTTCGACTAATCCAGAGTCTATTTCAGTCCAGCACCCTCTGCACGGGTTCTGTGGAATATGTGAACAGGGCAAGCAATGGAAAGTCTTTTCAACCAATCAGATTGTGGTATCTAAACTGTGACATGCAGATCTCAATCCAGCAAGTAAAGAAAGATAAATTTTTAATCATTTATTTGAAATGTAACACTGGTTAAGAAATATAGATGGAATTACAGGAGAGGTTTAAATTAGATAAACAAGAAAAAAAAACTTTTTTTTATTAATAGCCACCACATTAACTTTCTTACGAAGGAATGAGCCTCTACATTTGTAAAAATTAATATTACAAAGACAGAGAGGCTGTCCCACAACAATAATAATTTATTTCATTTAAAACTCACTTACTTCTAAATGTACAACCTTAATATGTATTTTATAATTTTTAACGTGTAACTTAAATATGGCAATTTTATGTAATTATTGTGATTTCTCCTATCAATTGTGAGAGTACCCCCAACCCTAATGCATCCTATTCCTAACTGTAGGAAAGGCCAAAGTATCTTTGGCGGCAACTTTTGGATTTTTGTGTTGAATGGCACAAGTGTGTGGAGCAGAAGTTGCTGTCAGATTGAAATAATGGACAGCATTATTCACCTGTCTGTTATAATTGGAGCAAAATCCCAGCCTTTATTTTGTTAATATCCCTCTTTTGTTCATAGTTAAGATCTCTAAATGGTTTTCAGTGAATAACAATTCATGAACCTTTGATCCATCCTTTTCATCTCTTGTACTTCTGATATTCTGGCCAAACGGAAACCCAAATAAGTAATTGGCAAGGCAAGGGAAGATTGGGCATGGCATTGTAATGGACAACAACTCAACACCTTCAATGTTACATACTTGCCCAAGGTTGTTACCTCCAATGAGAACCATGCAAATGTGAATGGGGATCACAATCACCCTAACCATTTCACACAAAACCAGACAAAGGAAGGTGCTGTCAAAGAGTTAATTCATGATTTCCTGTGTGCATAGTATCATGCCAGCAGAGTTTTTGTACCTTCAGGTGGATTATATATAAAAGTCAGCAATGTGAAAATGTACATTTTGCAAAGAATGAAATGCTATTAGTTGGGGATTTAATTAGAACATTGCAGAGCGTATTGAATGAGAAAGTGAGAACCTATATGAGATTTCACACTTGGAATTCTTGGGGTTCATTCTGACTTTGGGTAAAAAAAGACATATAATAATTAACTTGTTTATTTATGCATTTTCAAATATTAATAGTACAGAGTCTCTAAGGCATGTTGAAAGCCAACCTCCAGTATTGCCTGTGTTTAAACTGCCTGTGCATGGAGAGACAATGGCCTAATGGTATTATTGCCAGACTATTAAAACAGAGACCCAGGTTCATGCTCCGGGGATCTGGGCTCAATTAGCTGCCCTCTGGTCAATTAGAGATGGGCAATTAATGCTGGCCTAGCCAATGATGGCCATGTCCAATCAATTGATTTTTTTAAAAAGTTAGCTAATGTAAAAGATACTAAAGATAAAGGAAAGCACTACTTAATTCAACTGGTCACTAGATAATCTCGTCAAGCTGAATCCTAAACTGCTTCAAGCTGCTTGATTGCAGTGTATTTGATGAATGAAGGTACTTTCATGGTGCAGTGGTAATAAACTTACTTCTGGGCCAGGAGTTCAAGGCCCACCTGCTCCAGATGTGTATCCTAACATGCTTAAATATGTTGATTCAAAACATCTGGAAGATGCATGAGGTAGTGTCTAATTGTAGATTACAGGATGTCAGAGAAACACATTCTGACAGATTTCTTTAGCTAGAAAGTTATGAAAGACAAACAGATCCTGTTACAGAACTTACGGAATTCCAATTTCAAAGAGGTTGTTTTGAATGAGCTGTTTCCCGAGCATGATAATGCTCAACTGGATACAAAGCTCCATCAGGCAACCTCCAGGGGCACACTGGTTGGAAACAAACAGAAAGTAAAAATTACTTTAAAACAAAGTGTGGCTCACAATACTTAAATCATTAAACATGAAAAAATGTTGACTAGAACAGAATTACTCTATGCTGCATTGACCTCATACACTTAATCCTGATTGTTCTCCTTACCTCCTCCATCCGATAGTCATGAAAGATGTAAACGTATCTTCCAGGTCGGCCAACAAACCTGTCAAGAAAATAGACCATTAATCATAACCTTAAACATAACTCTGGAGCTAGTCAGTTATTTACTTACTTTAAAATAACACACAAGGTTAGAATAGCCGCTGCTTTGAGCATATCAGTTGGAGAATGGGCAGATGGAAAGGTTCTCCTCTTTGGTCCATTGATATGTTTTCACTTTGAGATCAGACCAACTATGACAGTTTGATGGCTCAAATATTCCAAGGCTCAGCAATCACTTCAGATTGCCACTCCAATTATTTTTTTGTTCTGAGTACTGAGCACCATCTTCCTAGCCAGGAGTTCAAATCCTGGTTCCTTCTGAAATGCAGAGCATAGCTGAAATCAACACTGTTTCCTCCATCGTGCAGAAAAGTCCAGGAAAGTCTAATCAGTCTCCCTGTTGTAGCAGTCAGTATGCTGTGTTCTGAGATTTAAATAGCCAGGAACTTTTACAGCTGCTGTGGAAGGGTAAGTATATAAGACAAGAGTGGGACTAAAGTGCCAGGTTGGTAGGGTGCCAAATAAGTGATGGAGTGCTTTGTGTAGGTTGGAGGCTTGATGGATGTGTTGGAGCTGGTTGTGTGGGAAGCAGGATATGTCAAGGCCAGTAGCAAGATGGGGTGGTGGGGAAAGAAGTGATTGGGTCCGGCTGCGATGTGGGATTGTTGATAGAAAGATTGGGGGGGTGGTCAGATCGGGTCCTGGGGATTCAGGCAGTTGGCAGAAATGGGATATTGATTCCTGCAGGGGGGTGTCAGTGCTGGTTGTGAGGAGGTATTGGGATCAGTGAGGGAGTGTTGAGACTGGTGGTGGCAGCTTGGTGTCAGGATGATGGTTTGGAGTTGTGCCTTGCATCACGGGGTGCTGTTGGGTCCTGCAGGGATAGTATTGTGGCCGGAGGGTGAGGGGGTGTTTTTGTTGGCAGTAAGAGGGAGCGTCAGGTCCCAGGGTTTCAGGCCTGAGAGGAGGAATGGAATGGGTTGGGGAGCTGTGTTGGGGATATATTTGGTAGGTTAGTGGGGAGAGGATCAGTGTAATTGTTACCCAGGAGTTAGACTAGATTTGTCATTGTCACATATTTCATGGGTTGCTACTAACGAAATAAAAGTGAAACCCTGTGAATTTCCCAACGTTATGGGCTTTGCCAGATGTTCTGAACACAGGGAATTGGGATCTTCAATTTCGTAGGCATTTCACACAGAGTCGCTGCATCAGATCCTGATGTGTAACTCCAGTCTGCATTGTTCCAAAGACTAACTGGCCATCGCAATACCAGGGCTGACATTTCTTCTTCACACACAGCCATTCCTCAGTGAGACAGGCAATTTTGGGTGAATTACAGGCAATTTTACGTTCTTTCTAAAAATGAAAACTATTACCCAGAAGAGTGGATGGTCATCTTGACCAGTTGTGCAAAACAGGCAGTATCACATCTTTACTTCCATTCTGATATCTAACTCCACTGACCTCAATCAGGCTGAATATCAAATAGGGTGTTTCAGAGTTGGACTTTACAATTCTGCCCATTTACATTTACCAAGACAGACTTATATGCCCAACATTTTAACTATTCTTTTTCTGCTCAAAGCATTTGTAACTATTTTTTCATATTTCTGAAAGCTTATATAAAATAGTTAAAATTGAGTAGCACCAGAATGATGATTCTTTGAATTAAAGCATATGTTCTTGTCCCATAATTTTCTTTCTTAATCACATAATTTAGTTCATTAGAAAATGTCCAAATCTGAGTCACCACAGGAGTCATGAACTTGAAGACACTTTAATAGATTTCCATTTCTGTAACACATTGCATCAATGGGTATCTGGATTAGTTGTGACTTCACTTGAGAATTGATGCAAATCTTGGAAACACACTGTAGATGGGGCTCGCATTGAATTGCCACAAACATTTCTCTGACCAATCAGGAAGCTGCACTATAAGATAATGGTCCTGAAAGAGTTAATGCCGAAGTTGCATTAAGCTCCACCCAATCAGATGATGTCACACAGGTGGAGCTCAATCAGATCTAGAATGAGGTCCTGATAGATACAGCCACCTCAGCTCTAGCCTTTGATGGTTGTAATTATAACTAATTAGCCAATGTCACTTGAATCAATTACAATATGCAATAAGCTAGGTTTTGTGTTTTAAGACAGGTGCCCCATCTCATTCCACCTCAACAGTTGTTTATCCTGTACTATTGCTAATTAGAAAGGAGGATTTGTGGTAGCACTCTACCCAAATACAAGCCACCAGTTCCATAACATAGAAAAGGGTGATTAGCACTAAGGTTCATTGCACAAATATCTCAAGGGGGTGAAAGGGAGTAAAAGTTCATTTGATAAAGGAGAAAAATGTTTACAGAAGAAAGTCAGTTTACCAATTTAAGGTCACCGCCATTTTAAGAAGACTCAGTCAGGCAGCACCTGAAATCACGAAAAAAGACAAGCAGGCAGCAGTGCTTGTGGAAGCAACAGTAGGACACAGACAGTATCGGAGAAGAAAATCTTCACCTCAGTTGGTGAGAGACACAGGAAATTCAGTATGGGATATGAAGCGAGTTAAAAACCTGACCAGTCCTTTGAAAAGAAAGATTTGTGGGAGCAGTTCAGTGATCTATGACTAAAGTTAGAAATATGTTCAGGTAAAGTAAAAATAAAATTAAAATATTGTGTGAAGGACTGGGCTGGGAAGGATAGGAGGTAAAAAGGAATATGTATCCTTCAAAATGAGTGTCACTACCAGTGTGAGCAGGCTTCATGAGGCATGGCTACAGCAAGGGCCAGAAAATTAATTTATGTTGAGGCTGCAGTATTGGAAAGATCACAGAGTACATTCAAGGTGACTAAAGGACTAAGAGATTCTTAAAACAGAATCTAATTGAAGATGATAGATGGAAGAATTTAAAGATTATGATCGTATTGGGACATCGATTACTTAAACAATTATTTTGAAGATTTATTTTAAACTATCACCAGGGAAATTCATTTTAAAATTTTGCAAGGGCACATGTATTGTGTATTAGGCCTTGAAAGGCAGGAAAGTGTCTACTTCGTCTGTGAAGCAGTGGGAAAACCTTTATTTTGACTGCAGAAGATAGAAGAAAACTACAGAAACTGAAAAAGGACAGGATCATCTCAGTAAATATTGCAGTGATACACTATTGTTGTTAAAAACAATTTTGCAGCTTTTAAGGAAACTTGGGTATTAAAGTATTGCCAAAATCCAGAATTTAAAGATTGAGTGAAAGAAAACATTACAGCATTGCCATAATATATAGCTGAAAAGCTTATAAAAAGAATACTGCATAATTGCTATAACAGGGTTTTAAGATCTGAAGAGACTTCAAGACTAGGAAAATTAAAGCATTTCTTTAATGTAAGATTGGAAGCTTTGAACTTAGCAGCATTTATATATTGCAAAATAATTAAAGCTTTGAGGTAAATGACACAAAGCAGTATTGAGCTGCTACAAATTTTAAACAGCTTTAAAGGAATAAGCATAAGTAACTACATTGAGAAAAAATAGCAAGACAAGTATTAATGTCATTAAGCTTTAATCTCATAGATGGGACAAATAAAAAAGAGAATTTGACATCTTGGATCACAATAATATTAAACCGTGTAGAATTGATTCAAAAATAGATACTAAATCTCAAATTGAGAACTACATATTTTATTGTATTCAACAGGTACTAAAGGAGACAACATGATAAATTGCCAAAGCGAGCACAGATACTTTTTAAAGAAATTCTAACTCTTGATAATTACTTCAACCTTACAGCAAATAAAGTTCTTGAATGACTGAAAACAAAAAATGCTGAAGATTACAACAGGTCGGATAGCATCTATGGAGAGAAAGCAAGCTAATGTTTCAAGTCTAGATGACTTCAGTTTTATCAGAATTAGCATCCAATGGAATTGATAATACTTTCATTGATAATCTGTACATATTAGTGGAAAACTGATGATGCATCTTTGAAATCAGAATCCGTAAGAGACAGAATTGTCACTGAAATAATTGATGAATCTTTGTCAGGTTGTCAGAATTTGTTGCATTCCAAAGAAGATTTGACTTTAGAAAGAACTACTCAAAATATTCTGGGAGTAGAAATCAGGAAGAGTTGGAAAAACATTTCAGGAGTAATACAAGCTTACTGCAGGTTAGAAACTGGACCTACACACCTTTGTCAGGTATATACTCTACTCTATGAACTTGACAGACCCATGTGATAAGCCAACACATAAACAGAGCTGACACATGCGAAGAGTCAATGCTGTGGAATATGAAGTCTCCCAGACAAGCAAGAATACTATATCTGTAAAATTACAGATCACTTGCAGAAGATCTACACAAGTAGGGCACTTTTTTGAGCAACAAAACTGAAAATGTGTACTCTTGGAGAGCAATTAAGTAATAGAACTGCATCCCTTACAAAGGATATCTGCATTAGACAATATATCTCCAAAAAAATAGATAACTAAGGCATTCCAAGACAAAAGTAGTAATCCAACCAATTCACATTTGACAAAACTTTTGCATGTTAATAATCACCTTGCTCATTTAAATCTCAATACAGGTGCAAGGGTAACTGATCTATCAGATCAAATACCACGGCTAAAGAAACAAAATTTGTAGCCTACATTGATGCAACTAAATAGTACAAGTGGAATATCTGTTAAGAGTATTGATATACCAGAAGAAACTCTGGAACACAAACAGCATAAGGGAATTGAAAATACTTGCGTAATTCACAGTCAGCACTTTTCACTTTTGAGCCTACATATATGACTTCAACATGCTTTTGGCAACTGAAGGAGTTCAACTATTCCAAGAAAAAAATTGGTTCAGGAACAAATTGTTGCTGAATAATTGTCAAGGTGCCAACTGGTTGATTAGGCTTCCTACACTCATGGAGAAACTAAAATTTACAGAAGAATCTGTTGAGATTACCTATATTGGCAAAGAAAATTGCGTCATATTGTCAACAGAAGAAAGTCACATACTCTACAGGAGTTGTGGAAATGTTTGTGATTCCTATCATTAATGAAGAACTTTCAGAAATCTGAAAAGTTTGCTTAAAAAAACAAATTCTGAGAACAAGAATGAAATGTACAACCCACTTGAGGTAAATTATGTATCATAAAGGGAAGTTGTTCAAACTTTGAAGCAAGATGATAGGCCTGCGCAAATTCAAGGGCGCCATTTTAATCCGCTGTCATTCAAACAAAAAAATAGTTCTAATAAGCAGCAGACCTCCAGCTGAAGATGTGAAAATGTTTCCGTCACAAGTAAAATAATCACAGAGGGCAAATGAAGATATCCAACCTAATCAACAAATTAAAGTCATACTTCAACACCCAATGTATTAGTAGATTGAATGATGATTTGCTTGCACAAAATGGAGAGGAGCACTATAAAACTCTGAGGGAGCTAGATTAATGACCACAGATTCAGGGCACAGTCAAAAAGATCATATCTCCTGATCTAAAAATCCAGGTTACTGCAGAAAAATAATGGCCTGGTCTGAAAGACCAGTGTATTGTGAGGATGAAATGTCTCCATGATGTACATTCATGAGATTAGATGTCCCCAGATGAGACTTTTGGGCAACTGCCTCATTCAGCATGGATGAATTCCTCCACAAAGTAAATTTGGGTGACTAACAATCCTCCAGTAAAGGTAATGGACTAACTACTGGGTGTAGCAGGAATCTGCTGTGAAAAGCACTGAAAGAGAACGATCCTCTAGCAGAGAACTGATTTTCAAATGATCAGAATCTACAGACCTCAAGCCAAAAACCTGCCAATCTTCCTAATCTGATGATAGCACATTCTGGAAGAATTGTGAAACTCTAGACTGCTTTAATTTATGAGGTCCGAGACTTGGGAGCTATAGGGTAATGGCAAAAGTGCAAGTAGTTGTGTACTAGCATTCCACTGTATTTCCGCAATGTGGTAGGAAAAGAATGCTGAAATGACTGAGATGGGAAGAGTAAACAGTCACTCAAGTCACACTTTTCCACCACAACGTAAAATAAAAATATCACACCCAAATGGCTAATTGTACGCTTGTTCTATGTTTGACTTAGAATTAAATGATTCATCAACCAAATTATCGATTTATTATAAAACAAACACCATTTAGTTAAAATGCAGGTTGGTAAACACACATTTTATAATATGAAATGATAAACTGCTTAACTACCCAAATAACCAACACAATGGTACTTAAAGTCAGGAGACTGATATTGATTTATCTCTGCAAAGATCCACTTTTAAAAAATGGCCAATAGCAGCTATTCTTAAAGGCAAAAAGGAGAAGCTGTAGAAGATTCTGGAATTTGCCGATCTGGTATCTTTGCAGATGTAGTCAAGGTACCAATCATGCATGGTTGACTCTGGCGTTTTGGCAGATGCAGCTGGAGATATGATATTGAAAAGTTCTTTCAGTCACTCTTCCAGAGAAACATTTCACCCTAATCTTGCAGCCAAAGTTTTAGAAACAGGCGACATGAGCTAAGCAGGTTGTTCTTAAGCAGATTTTTTTTTAAACCAAAAAATCCACACACAAAAATTCTAAACTAGCAAATGTAAACTGCTCAAATGTGACAGAAATAAGTTCTGTCATTAAACAGTCAGATATTTTCCCTTAAGTGAGTAACAAAGACTGGCAGTTATATAGAATTATGTGTTGCAAATAAAATGTAGTGTTTAAAAAATACTTCCAATAACAAAAAGTAAAAAAAAACTTCCAATTTGATTGACCATTTTCAGAATAAAACAATCTAGGCATCTTTATAATACCTCAAACTCAATTCAGAAAACTTATGAAGGGTCTCTATGATAATGTATGAATATTAACTATGGGGGAGAAAATTCTTTGGTAGATGTTGTATCAGGTAATAATTCTAAAAGAGTTAATCCACCCAGTCTGATAATGTCACCCAGTCTGATCATGTCACAGTCTTTGCATGGAGAAGAATATATAGCACATGGTGTCCCAATGGAAATGAGCATGTCATCTCTGACTCCAGGCAGTCTTTGAACCTATATCTAATTAGTCAAGTAACTTATAAATATTGCTACCATAGAATGAACACGTCTTGTATAAAACAAGTTTATTTTCTTGGCCTCTACTATTTCTAATTAGATAGGCCCTTGAACACAGTACACGAAGGAGGATTGAAAGGGTTCTTGTGGTATAGTGGTAGTTTCCTAACCTCTGGGTCAGAAGCTCCAGACTTTCAGCCAAATCTGCCCAAAGCTATGTCATAACTTGTCCAAACATTGTGATTAAAAATAGCTTGACAGCAGGATTGGTAGCAGCATTTTACCTCAAGCATAAGCTACCAGTCGTTGGTACTACAACAGTGTAGAAACTACTCATCCTGTTTAGCATTTGGAAGAAGCTCTGCTTCAAAATATTTTCTGGAGTATTGTAACTTGCTCAAACTTACCGTCCTTTAAAAAAGGCAACATAGAAAATAGGGGCATAAGAGTTGACAAATTTTAATAGGAATGCTTTCAAAATTAATCTCTCTTCAAAGATTTTTTCTGTTTTAGGAACTTCTGCAAAAGGAACACAAAAAGAATATTTTAAGTATATTAACCAAGCAAGCCAGAACTATTGAAACAAAGAACAGTATTTGCAAACGGATCGAATGTTTCTTAGCTTGTCAAGTTTCACGGTATTGCCTTGTTTAGACAAAAGTAGGATAATAAGCAACACACAAAACTTCTTGGAAGTTCTATGAAATCTGAGCAAATGTTCTTACTATTCCAAATTGCTAACCAGTGGTAACCACTACCCACTCCCAACTATTTTGTTTTGGTAACAAAGAAATAATGTAGCAAATTTTGTCACCCTGCTTACACAAATACATCTCATTCTTTTTTCATTATAGTTTGCAACATAAACCACATTCCACAAACACACAAAAAAAGGGTGAGTTTGCATTTATACAGTATCTAATTAAATCCTCAGGACATCACGCAAAAGGCATTGCCTCCAATGCAAAATTACCTGAACAAATATAAAAGAACACTTTCTGTCACTAGTGTTAAGTGGTCATGCTTACTTTGTAAATAAATCTAAAATTGAGCAAAGATTGATTTCTGGTCTCTTCCTTCACCAACTGCCAAGAGAGACGTAACAATGAAATCTTTACCATATCCAATATCTCAACAGGGAACTGTATGCTATTAATATAACATTGGTTCTTCAGCCATTTGCTGGAAGCTTTCCATTTGTTTCATGTTATGCATTTAACGACTGCTCAAAACAAACTGAATGCAAATTGTAACAGAGGTCACATGACTGTGGTAAGCCACAACTATACCGCATTCATACAAACAAATTCCTATTTTCATTCAAAAGCACTAAACAAATTGCCTGCCCAATAATTTGCAACTATAAGTTACCCAAAGTTTTAAAAAAAAACATGAACAAAACTGTGGGTTAATCTACTCAATCTGATATTTATCAGTCTTGGTATACACATTGCATACAAAGTATTTAAATTGTTCAGGTACACATGCACAATGGTGTTGGCTGTTCACCTGGCAGCTGGCCATTCCTGGGGCAATGTCCTTTCTCCAGGGAGTATTGTTCCCATACTGTCTGTTGTTGCCATGCTAAATTGTTGCTGCTTATCCATTCCTGTTGTTAGGGAATGGTGCATCTATGGACAGTCTGTATTCTATACAGTTGGTGACACCCTCCTCACCAGCTATATGCAATGAAGGAGCAATTGTATGCATATATCTGTAGTGGTGACAGCTGGTCATTCATATTCACCACAGAAGTGTGAAGTGATAACTGCTCTACACATGTCCAAAGTTGCCACATAGGCTGACACATGTTGTGAGTATTTAATGTTTGCACTGTGATTAATTTGCCAATCCTCAGTTTTGTCAATGAGTTGGCAGCTTTAACAATGGGTTGGCAGATTTATCAAAGTGAAATTTGCTTATCATTTTATTTTGATTTAATCACTCACCCTGTTACTGCTACTGGTTGCAGAAGTTTTGTAAGATATTGGAACAGTAGCACAAGTGTTAGGTGACATTGGACTGGACTACATTCTATGCCCTCAGCAAATGTATTTCTCCACTCAAGGATTACCTTGTATACATCTGTGCTAGATTTGCTTGTTTGCTTTATGATTCTTTTGACAATTTTCACTGATACTACAGCCTTTCTGTTTTACGGAGAATGGTGTAAACAGATTAATGGTATATAATCTCTCAATCATTCATGAAGTCACTGAATTCTTCCCTTGTGAACATGTCTATCATTGTCACTCAAGACAATGTCTTGAATGCTGTAACAACTGAAGTGCATTTTCAGAAATTCTATTGTGACATTAATGGTCATTGATGTGAGCTGGTCAAAGTCCCAGCAGTACTTATATAGTAATCAATAGTGACAGTTGATGTTTCACATTCACTTGACAAACTCCTTCTACATATTCTCAACCATTTATGTGGACCTAATTCTGTGAACCTTTTGCATTGTGTAGTGATTTATCAAAATCATCATATGAAATCTCTCCAGTAACCATCTTTACAGAGTTGCTTTTCTTCGATCTAGCTAAGCAAATGCAAGCAAAGTGACTCTCTCACAACTGGAGCACTGCCTTCCCATGGTGGACATGTTTCCTTTTCATTTGTCTGTTTTCCTCGACAATATTTACATCTTGCACTCTTACTTTGATCAGCTGGCCTTTCTGCAGATTTTCTTCTTTCTTTTCCACCATTAATTTGTTCTTGCTAAGCTTGGACTATCTCTCAGTGTCTTGCAAAACTTCAGTTTTCTTGCATTCAAACTCTCGAGCTAATGATTGACAACTTTAGAGATTTTGCTCTTGACAACTTTCTTGAGAAAACTTTTCTGCCCTCTAAGCAGACATGCTCTCAAAACAGGAGCTCTTTTTCCTCTAAGGCAACCCGATCTTTGATGAAATAAATTTTCAGTTGTCCAAACTCTCAGGAGTTATCTAGACGCCCAATGCTGTCACATACTGATCAAAAGTCTCCCTATCCTCACGAGCTCTGATGTTGAACACATAGTATTCCTAAGTGAAAAATTATTAGAGGGTTCAAAGTGTTTCTTTAAGGCATGGAAAACATCTCCAGTCTGGCTTTTTCTGCTTTTAATTGAGGCCTAGCTGCAATACGGCTTGTGTCATTGTTTCAGAGTTCTTGCTTAATTCTGTACCTGTTTCAATCTTTTGCCATTGAGACTGGAAGAAATTTCACTACAATGACATATAGCCTTTCATTTCTATAGCACCAGGGATTGAAAAATTCATAGCCACTCTGACTCATCCAGCGCATCAAAGTTACACGCTGCGTTTTCTTTTTCCTTGCTGCTTCTTACAGCAGCTTGCTTTGCTACAGTTTTGAAAATTCACAAAACTTCAGCTGCAGGCACTTTTGACACAGTATTTCCTGTAGTCTTTTTAATGGCTGCTCAAGCTAAGATGAAAACAACTGACATGAAAGGTCACATAACAATGGAAAGTGTGACGATATTATGGCTTTAAGAGGTGTATTTTGTCCTTTTTTTAACGAAAAGAGGTTGAGACAGAGGTACTGAGTGGTCTGTTCCAAGCCAATAAAGTAAACAGCTTGTGAGGCCTTGGAGTTTTTTTTTTAAAGTTGGAACAATAGAAGCAGCCTGAATGGGTAGAGTCAGGCTCCCATAGAATCAGAGTTTTAGTTTAGCTTTCAGTAGTTGTTAAGGTTTTCAAGTTGTCTATGGAAGCTGTCTCTCTCCCAATCTCTCTCTTTGTTACAGCTAAAAGCTGGAATTCTCTCTCTCAGCCTCACTGCTTTCTTGACTTTCTTTCCCCCCAGATTGGAGAAACATTGCATGTGAGACTATCTATTTTAATGACTTTGCCTTTGCCAAGAGCATGTTTATGGGGCGTTACTATATTGGGACAGTTGCTCTTTAGTATCTAGATAATCTATTATCCTGTTAAGTTTTCCAACAGAGTTAAAGTTATAACAATTCCCCTTTTTTTTGTTTATATTTTAACTTTAGGGCAATAATAAAGTGTGTTTTGCTTAAAGCTGAGAAATATGACCAATCGGATTACATCTGGAACACAGCAACCTACGATTACCTTTAAATGAGAAATTGTTGGGGTCTAGGCTATCTCCTTGATATATTTGAAGGGGGTTTGGTCTGGTCCATAACAAAAGCCATAAACAAATCCTCACAAATGCACTTCTCCAAATGCCATTATCTTATGACATAGGCTTACCCATTTTGGTCAGCCATTCGGCGACAGCACCGTAGATCTCATCCAAGATGATGATCACCAGAAGGTTAATGATGACGGCTGTTGCAGTTACTGTGACCTGGATGTGTGACTTTGTGCTCTCATTTGTACTCATCGCCATGGCTGCTGCTATGGAGATTCGATACATGATCACTCCAAAGACAGCAGAAAATGTTAGGCCAATCTGCAGTGAAGGAACCACTTTAGGATTAACTGCATTCACAAATCTCTGTGCTTAATAATGACTCTAAATAACGTGTTCCTTTGTAAAACTTTGAGGTGTTTTGCTTTTTTGAGAAATATCAGAAAAGAAACCTGTTTATTTGTGAATAAAAGATTCTGAGCTTATAATTAACACTGCAAAGAAAAATATCATGTGTCAATCTTCTTCTGCAAAGCTGATTAGCTTGTGAGAATCATGAAATCTTTCAATGTTTTGCAAAAACATGTGCTCAACTGCCATTGTCTGTTTTGAATTTTATGGTTGTCTGGGTATACTTCTGCATTTCTGTTCCGTTTATAGATGGTGGGGGCCTATTTAAAAGAAACAGATTTAGATTTTACCAGTGATCTTGAGGTAAATAGGCTCAGTGCATACCATCTCCAGATTACTGATCCACAATTAGGTGTATCATTGAAAACTTGACAATACTGAAAGTCAAGTTGCCCTCAAACACAATGCTTCCTTGAATCTCAACTGGAGTGAGCAAACTTACCATGAACAGAATTGACACGAAATTCCCCAGATAGCCAGGAACCCGATCCCTCCAGGTCAGCTTTTCATTTTCTTCCTGTATGATGTGGGGGATGGGAAGAAATAAAGGAAGTATTTAGCATGGAATGCTGCACAGGGCAGACTTTGAGAGTCTATACTGCTGGCATGGGGGCATGTTGGAGTGATTATAGACACCATGTTGGGTTTACAGTGGAATAACTCCACCTCCTATTCACACTCACAATTGGGAAAGTCCTCACACTGCCAGCAGCGCTGCACAGTCTCTGTCCCTGAATCAATTAAGAAATATTAAAACAGTTATGTTTTAAAGCAAAGTGTGAAGTCATTGACTGTTTGTTTAACATTATCTGTCAGACTACAGCTATGGATCATTGTAGTTATAACCTTATATCTGTGGTTCTACCATTGTCTAATCATCAATAAACATTTGTACATCTATTGCTGTTTTTCACAAAATAGCTTATTAATTAATTATAGCAAAACCATGCTGATAATACAAAAACTGAGGTAAAGACTCAAGTTTACAATCACAAGGGCAGCACAACATTAAAATATAGTATTGTAACAGCTATTATTCTATTATTGAGATATTTTCTCCAAAACTAAGGCTTTCTTTGTTATTTCACTGCTATCTTCAAATGCCTCTCAGAATCTACTTTTTCAAACTTGCTTTTGGCTACCTATCCTCACTCAAATGTCACAGTGCATTCATTACTCATTCGTCTGTATTTTTATTTGCTCTGCAAAGCATCGGGTTATTTCGAAATGCTAAGTGGTGCAAAATTAAATAAAGCAGTTGCTGTGGTAACAGCAGAGACAAAGTTCTGGACTGTAATTAGGAGATTAAAAGTGAAGAAGAGGACCACAGACACAGAGAAGCAATTGGAATGTGGATGAAAATCCCATTTTAATTCAAGAACCTCATTTAAGAGACACGGACAGGGATAAAAATAAAGTGTCAAGCAGAATGAGATGCAGAAAGGGACAGATGCTAATTGAGACTGGCAGATAATAGACAATGGGGGAATGTTTTTACCATGATAATGAGACCTACATGCAACTTGAAATTAGATAATGGAATTCTTATTTCACAGGAAGTTATGGGTACACTAAGTGAAGTGGCTTCTGAAATTTCAGAAGTCTTTAGCAGCCAAATCCCATTGATGTTTAACTTTGATCTCAGACACTCACAGTCCAAGGGTTTTCCTTGCTGTCTCTTTCCTTCTCAGGAACGACTATGAGAATTACAGGATACGTATGAAGGAAAATATTTGTTTTATTTTTCCAGGCATTGCACAATATTAAAACAAATATGAGTACGTGTATGTTTACACAACCGAATTCTTCAATAACTTGGTACTTAGCTGATTTTAATACATTGGTACAATCTACTCAGTGGAAAATCATAACTTTGTATAGCTATAACAAAACTTCCTTTTACTTAACACAGAGCAAAAAAGTTTTGATTGGCCTTTTATTCATCTCAGTTTAGAGTCCTTGCCTAAAAGAAAGCTGCAAAGTCAGATAAAATTAATAACCAAATAAACTGAAATAATTTCCTTTGGTTAAATAAATAGTATGAACTACTTTGCCTGCTCTTCACTTACAAGTACAGCTGTTCCCACAAATAACCACAAGCAGTGTTTGTCTTGATATCTCAACCCAGCAAAAAAATTCAATTGCAGCTACTGACTTCAAGTTACTTGCACTGAATAAAGTACATGGTCTCAATGGCAAGACAATCCTTTGATTAACCACTTTTGAGCTGCCAGTGCCTTTAATCAATCAACCAGTAAAGGGGAATTAATGCAGAATTAATTTTGCAGAATCACACAGCACAGAGCGAGATGTCATTCAGCTCATCATTGCTGTGTTAGCTCTTTGAAAGAACTCTCTAATTATTCCTATTGCTCTGAATTACCCCCATATTCTAACATTTTCTTTTTCAACATTTAAATGGATATTTGCAACTTGGATGCATAATTGTTCATGTGGTAGAAGAGAAAAAGTAGCAGTGAGTGATGGGAGGAGGGGGGGGGGCGTATGTCCCTCAGTAATGTAAGTCAAGGGTTGATTGCACCTTAACTCTAAGAATAGCCTCTGACCATGTGCATGGGGATCTACGACGTAGTGACGTCACAGCATATAGAACTGCAGCCTGAGTCTGTAAGGCTGTAATGGCATGTCTGCTCATCCCATGCTTTGTATAGATAAGTTAAATAAAGCATATTATTGCTCACTCAACCCACAACAAACTACTGGTGTTGGGACAATTATTGTTCTTCTTACACTGCAGGTAAATGATCTGCACTTGGCTGTAGCACAATTTTAAAGTTTTAAAGTTTATAATATAAAATGTGACAACTTTATACATTTTGGGTAGAACACTGGCATCATTTAAGAGGACACTGACAGATTGTTGAAATGGGCAGACACATGGCGTGTGCATTTAGTCTGGATAAGTAGGTGATGATGCACTTGAGGGGAAACAAGGAGACGGTCTAATCCTATAGTAATACTTTGAGGGGACAGAATGGATGTGTGGTGGATTTGGATAAAATACAGTATAGAGCAACCTAGAAATGCATGTTCACACATCCTTGAAGATGACAGGTCAGATTCCTAAGGCAATTAAGAAAACGTATGCAACACTTGGGCTTTGTAAATAGGGATACTGATTACAAAAGCAAGGATGTCATGCCAAATCTTCACAAATCCCTGGTTAGACCTCAGCTGCTGTATTGTGCGCAAGTCTGGCACCACATGTCATGAAGGATGTCAAGGGCTTTGACAGGGAGTACAGTAGGTTTACCAGAATAATGTCAGGGATGAGGAGTTTCAATGATGTGAAGTAACTGGAGAAGCCACTGCTATATATGAGTCTGAAAGAGTTAAGCACCACCCATTATGGCGTCATGTGAACACGATGACAGAGATGCTTACAATCCCGAAAGAGCAAGACTGAACACCTGGTCCTCTTCAAAGTCTCTGTAACAGTATCTGTCATGACCAATATAGCATGTAACTGCTTGCTAACACGTAATATAACACTATATATTATTAAATACACAAATCTTTTCTAGTTGAACCAAGAAGTGGTTTTCCTCCACCATACAAGACCAATCAGATTCTGTAATTTCCCACAATTAAAAGGGGCTGGTGACATATAGAGTGGTGAGCTGGCATGCTGATACAATAGCTGGAAATTATCTCCTAAAAGCAGGCAAGTTTAAGGACAGAAATTATTGAGGTATGTCAAATCACAAGAGCTTTTGTTAAAGCAAAAAGGAGAACTTCTTTCCTTTGAGATGTAGGTCAATAAATAGATTTAAAATTCAGTTCTGCATTGTACATACAAGTCCCAGAGTGAGGTACATACCCATGACTGTGAGATGCTCCCATGTATTTAATACCACATGAATTACCTCTGAGGTGCTGTTAGTTCTGTTTCCTTGGGAAAACATGATTGTTGACTTGTATCCAGCACGATGCCTTAAACAGTAAGTAAGGGGAGGCAATAGGTTAGCCCGCGATTCCCTCATCCCGTGAATGAACAGAGAAAAGGCATTTTGCTGGCACTAATGTTTGAGGGGTAAGCAGCAAGATAGACATGTGGACCATTGCTCTTCCTTCTTCAAATGGTGCCATAGGGCTGAATCCTAACGCTTTTTTAGTTTTCTTTTTAAGTGCGAGTCACATTGTTGGAGGGATTCTCACCATGAGGCCAAGCAAGTTTTCTCACTGTATCTTACCAAATTCAGCAAATTAATTCTCGTTCCCACCCCTATGGCCTCTATCATGTCTGATTTCTGCCCCATCTTGCCATGCACTGTTCCCAGAAAAGTTTGCCGCTCAGCAGATATCTGTCCAATGACCAGCGTGCCCTTTGCATCCATGCCATCTTTGAAAGCCCGTTGTGAACCAGGAGGAGCACTGGCATCTGGAAGCTACCCTGACTCGGCTTTGAAGACTGTTTCGAGAGATGGCTGAGAAGGCAAAGTTGTTTGGAGGAAGTGTTGAGCTCAATCCACTACACAATCAATCCAGTTTCCATGTCAGGTTTCTCAACAGCTAGTTTACTTGGTGAATTTAGTAAGGTCATAACCAGAATATTCATGAGCCAAACCAGGCTGCCAACAAACACCTTAACAAACATTAATTGCCATCAATTGGCAACTCACTCCTGCCTGGCAAGAATCCCACTGTGCCACCTAAAAGATGAATTTGACATTCAAATAGGCCTCGTTCAACTTCATCGAATTCTGCCACACGACTAGCCGCACCCTAGGTTGTTCAGACCCCTATAAGATTCCACCCAAGGGATTGCTTACCACTCCCTCATCAAGCAAAAGGCTCAGCCTCTCATCCAGTAGGTAGAGCCATTTACAGTGCACTGTCCCGAGTAGCTGTGTATAATCAGGTCAGTTCTTTAAGTTGCTACACAAACAGGAAAGATTTTCTGAATCACACACACCCCCTACTGGCAGGATCTGAATAAAAGAACACACTCCAATGGCAGAATGCAGCCAAAAAACAAATCGAGATGTGCCATGTGTGAAAACCAAGTCAACTCGAGTTGTGAAATCATAAGCTACTCAATTGATACTTCACAAATATCAGGGAGTGAAGTTGGATGACATCTTAAGCTAGTCATCATATTGTGATTTGTAAAGTATTACTGAGAAATGTTATGATATAATAAACAAACTACAAACTGCAAATGAAAACAATAAAGACAGGTCTCACATTACCCATTTCTCATTTCACTCATTTTGTGTACGTACAGCTATCCAACTTGTGACTGTAAACCCATCATTAAGACTCGCTTTGATCGTTAGAATCGTGTCTCTGGGGAGCTTGGCTTCCTCACTTCTACACTGTTGCTTCTTTCAATGTCCTGACTGACTACAGATTAAAGCCTGAAGACAGAGAGGTCTCCATCATAGCCAAAGTAGTATTGGAGCCCCAATTCTGAAATTCACCAAAGATCCTTGACAGCACCTTCCAAAACCATGGCCACTTCTACCTAGAAGGACAAGTGTGGTAGATACATGG